GGTTGTAAACAGTCAAAAAATTATCCAGCATTGGGCATAGTAGCATGCTCTGAGAGGCCAAGGCTGGTGGATTGCCTGAGCTTAGGAGTTCCATACCAGCCTGAACAAAAGTGAGACCCCATTTCTACTACAAATAGAAAAACTAGCCAGGCATGTGGCAGGCACCTATAGTCCCAACTACTCGGGAGGCTGAGATAAGAGGATCACTTCAGCTCAAGAGTTTGAGGTTGCTGTGAGCTATACGCCATGGCACTCTTCCCAGGGTGACAGAGTAAGACTCTGTCTTAAAAAAAAAAATTATACAGGTAGCTTGTGAGAAATTAGCCTTTCCATAATAAGAAAGCATTGCCTGTTGGTAGGTAAAAAAAGGAAAACATCTGAAGGAAATAATTATAATCTAGAGGTTGTACTGGACAAACACTAAGGCCCTTTCAAATATATATTACCCAATACCTTTCTGAAATTTTCTACCAGGTCTTGCTTTTCCCTGCTGGGTGTCATAAGGTTTCTTTTTCCCTTACCCAAGCACTGTGAGACCCCTCCTTCCCTGCTGACCACATGGCTTGCAGGGGAAGTCTTAAGTTGTACTTGCGCATAAAAGGAAACCTGCCATTTTAATGCACTAAAAAATTGGGATTTGGGCTGGTCTCCAGCCTCTGCTTGGTGAGGACCCCCTCCTTTACTGCAATGCAGTTCCCATAAATAGCAAAATCTTGTCTGGATAGTGTTTTACTTTGTTTTAAAATTCTGAATCTCTAGTCTTTCTCTAGTATCAGTAGCCTAAGATTCATCTGGGAGTCCTTTCAGTCCTCTTGAAGGGGAGCAGGTTTCCTCACACTGAATGTGCAATGTGTAATACTTAACAGCAAGTCCTAGAAAATGGACCAACATCCTTCCAGAGGCCTGGTATTGGCAGCAACTGCCAAGTCACATGGGTGTGTTGGGATGTTAGCCTTCCTACCTTCTGCTCCTAAGCTCTCTCTTTCAGGCAATATGATACAGAGAACCAAAACTGCAAGGCTTCCATTCAAAGCTAACAGTGATGACTCCAGAAAGACATTCTACATGCCCCCTTCCTTGCTTTGTAAAATAACAGACAGCTTGGGATCTGGGTCGGCAGGCAGTGAGAACAAACCCCCTGCTGAAAGGCTGCTTCAAAGCTCTGTCCGATGAGGCCTCTTTCTCAGGCTGGCAGCTCCCCAGGGACATGCAACCTGGTTAGCTGGGTGATGAGGGCCCCAAAGGAATACGCCCTGAACTTCTGTCAAAGGCTGAGCCCTGGGAAGGGCTGGAGCTCTGACTTGAAGGAGGAGGGGCTGAGGTGACCTGAGGGAAGGGCCATGTCCTGGTTGAGAGCTCTGGGGGTCAGTGGGAAGAAGGAAGGGAATTGAGGGAGGAGGGGGAGGGGAAAATGCCTTTTGGGAGAACTCACCCTCCATAGCTTGCATGCCCCGCCGTTCCAGAGGCCCCCAGCGTTGGCCCTTCTTCCTCTCACAACCCTCAGAAGCTTCATAGGAGCCTAAAGTGGTCACTGTGGGCCCTGTAAGCAGAGAGAGAGGAAGGGCTGTGGGATGCCAGGGGTGGCTGGAGGCTGGGGTGCTGCGGAAGAGAAAGGGACAAGCCTTCTAGCCCGTTGAGGGTGGGGTTTGTAATCTCAAGAGCAGGTATCCGACTCACTCTGCCAGGTTGTGACTCTCCTCCCTTGGCCATCTCTCACCTAGGGGACCCCAGCCCTGCGGCCCAGCCTCCTTAGCACCCTCTGTTTCAGGATCCTCTCCCTTACACGGAAAGAGGGAGTGTGTATATTTAGCCTGGGGGGACAGCACAGGGGCAAGGATGAAAGACAGAGGGCATGAGCTAGTGAGAGGCTGGAGGGGTGAGGTGGCCTATTGGGGGAAGAGAGAGGCTGGGCAACATGAGGGAAAGGGCTCTGGGCTGCGGCTGCTCGCCCACTTCTCTCGCTGGACCTGCCCATCCCCACCCTCGCCCCAAGCTCAGGGGCCTTTGGGGCCGGAGGGGCTGCAAGATCTGGAGCTCCGAAGAGGGGAGAGACTAGATGGGAGGGACCACCACGAAAGATGCGGCCGGTGTGGGGAAGTCCCAGGCCCGAAAGATGGAGACGTTAGCTGAGTGGAGGCCAAGGTGGAGGAAGGAAGACTTCGGACTGAGAGGGGGGTGCAGCGAAGGCAGGGAGCACCTGGGGGTCTGCAGGAGGCGAGATGGCGAAGAGGAAGGAGTGGTGGTGGAGAGTGAGGGAGGGGCGGCTCTGACCTGGGCCTGGGCAGCTCCAGCCTGCGGCTCCCGCGCCGGCCCCGGCGCCTGCCTCCATGGCCGATCCCGCCGCCGCCGCCTCGCAGAGCACAAGCCGCAGCCGCGAGCCCGGGGACCCGGAGCCGGTGAGCAGGGAGGAGAGAAGGCGGGCCTAGGGGGCGGGGCTTGGCTCTGCCACCTGACTCCTCCCCGCGCCGCCGCCGCCCGGAAGCCCTCCCTGCTCGCGGCACCAGTAAGTCCCTGGACTCTCTCAAGGGGGCGCGGGCAGCGGCCTGGGACAAGCAGCCTACGCGAGCTACTAGGGGCTTAAGGCTGTCCCAGTGAGGGAGTGACAAGACCCAGGGGTTCTGGCCATGGGTCTTGGACTGTGCTTGGGGATCCCTGGAGGCCAGGTGTCAAGGGCCCTGTATTGTCAGTGGTGGATGCGGCTTAGGAGGAAGGTGGACTGTTTCTCCTAAAGGAGCGGACACGCGTGCGCCCTCTCCCCCTCTGCGGTAAGTCCGCTCCGGCCTCCCGCGGCGGCCTCTCTGCCTGGGGAGGGAAAGGGAGGCCCAGAGGTGGGAACTGTGAGGCCCCGGTCTCTCTGCTTTCCCTGGCCCCCAGCAAGACAGAACCAGGGCCCCTTAGAAGCAGCCCCCGGTGGCCTTACCGGCCCTCGGTATCCGAAGACCTCCTCTACTGCCCTGCCTTCCCACAACCAGTGGGCTGCGAGCCACCCCCTACTGTGGGCTCTGACTGGGCACTGCTGATTTTCACTCACAGAGGGAGATTTGGAAACCCAGAGAGCCTATTTCATTTCTTCAACCATTCATTCATTCAAGGAATGTCTTCCGGTGCTGGCTCTTACAGATGCAATGTTCTCATCTCTGCAGGTCTCAGCTGGGAGAGGAATGGGTACAATTGGGAACTGGGGCTTCCCAGCACATCCAAACAATTGTTGGGAGATTCTGAAGCCAGGAACACGTACCAATCCCTTCTCTTGCATATCCACTTACAGGTCGAGGACACACATTATCTGTGTTCACTCACAGGCTCTAGGTTCACAACCCCTCCGTGTTCCACAGGAAAGAAGCCGTTCTTTGCCTGGACATCCCCTCTTTTCCCTTAACTCTCAGTTGGGCGTCAGGTCTAGGGGTACTTTCTGATGCCACCATCCCTTCCCCATTAGATGCCCTCCGCTGTGCTCTACCCTGTCTGCTGGCTCTCTGGTCTCTGTGACAGCACCAGTTACTCTGGGTTGTCAGGGTTCTGTCTGCCCAGTTTCTTGAAGGTTGGGAAGTATTTTAGTTATCTTTGTTGTCCAGCATCTGACACATACAGTAAATGAGTGAAGGTAAATCTCCCAGCTACACAGTTAATGCTCTATCTTACCATTTAACATTGTTTCATATATGTGGACTTAAATGTTGCCTGTTAACAATAATAATGCCTATAAGCTTCTATCCCTTCACCCTTCCTCCCTCCCCCATTCTCTGCAGCCTAGTGCTCTGACAGATTATGAGCAGAGATCAGCATGTTTCATTTGGTTCCCAGAGGACAGGATTCCACTCCAGATCCGGGGCCCAGGTCATCCAGTCATGGGGAAAGACTGTTGAATAAGTCCACCCAGTCCCCCTTTTGCAGAGGGTACACTGCAAATGCCAAGCCTGTCCAGGCTTGGGAAGCAGGGTATTTGTTTTTTTTTTTTTTTTTGAGACGGAGCCTCAAGCTATCCCCCTGGGTAGAGTGCCATGGCATCACGCTCACAGCAACCTCCAACTCCTGGGCTCAAGCGAGTCTCCTGCCTCAGCCTCCCAAGTAGCTGGGACCACAGGCGCCTGCCACAACGCCTGGCCATTTTTTGGTTGCAGCCGTCATTGTTGTTTGGCGGGCCCCGGGCTGGGGATTCGAACCCGCCACCTTAGGTGTACGTGGCTGGCGCCTTAGCCGCTTGAGCCACAGGCGCCGAGCCGGAAGCAGGGTATTTGTAAAAGATGATGGAAAGGAGCTGCTACTGGGGGTTTGGGAAATGTAAAACTCTGGGGACTGGAGAAACTAATTCTGGGAGCCCAGTGACTATTCATTCATTCTTCCCTAGTTCCTTCTAGTTCTGCCTCAACCAGCAGGGTCAGGTCAGCAGTTGGCCTTGACTGCTGACCTCTTGGTGAATGGAGGTAGGCACAGGGGGATAGGAAGAACTATTGAGTGTGACAAGAAGAGGTTTAAGTTTTCCTCATGGAGCTCTGATACTGAGTATTGGGACTAATCTCTCTCTGGCTCTCAGGGTGCAGGTCACCATTTGCTCTTGATTTGGGAAACATTTAAGGAAGAATGAGAATCAGCCTATTCTCAGAAGCCAAACTTGGGCAAACGACTCTGGCCAGACCAGTACCAGGTTGAAGGTTGGGGAAAGTGCTTAGGGAATATGAGGGAAGTGGGGTGTGGTCCAGGGATATGTCTCTGAAAGGCCAGCAGTGGTGGGTATGTCAGCCAGGTGATCAGCCTAGGGGGATGATCGGAATTAATCTCAGTAATCCCTGGACTCAGGACTCAGCCTCCCTCCTAATCTCATCCCAGGAGATCATCCTTTCTGAGGACTGATGCAGCCATTTATCCCCCTTTACCCTTATTACTAAATGCCTAGATCCTTTCACTAAAAATTTTAAAAATGCGGAAAAATGTAGCACAACGGATAACATAATATTGATAAGTGTCCTTGTACGCAGGGCTGAAATCCAACCACCATTCCAATTTTGCTTGCCACATTTGATGCAGAGGTAGCCCTCTATTTATGGTTTTTACAAACAGTACATAATCTTGATTTGTATGTTTTAGAAATCTAAGTGATGCTATATTGTACACATTCATCTACAAACTTTTTTTTCCATCTCCAGTTCATAGATTTTAACTGCTGAATACGATTTCATTGCTGAATATACTACACTTTATCCATTCTTAAATGCTAATGGGCATTTAAGCTGTTTCCAATTTTCCATATTAAAAACAGTGCTGCAACAGACAGTTCTGTGCATTTCTTGTAGGACAGAAGCCAGGAGTGGAATTTCTAGATCACAGAGTGGGTGCATTTTAAACTTTACTAGTTGTTGCCAAATTGCTATACAGAATAGTTGGAGAATTAGCAACACTAACAGCAGCTTTTTAAATTTTATTTATTTTATTTATCCCTTGGCCCCCACTGATGTGGAAGTTATAAATTCTATTTCTAATCTTTTAATGAGTACTTCTTTATCTATTTTCTAAACATTCTTACTTAAGTCTACAGTGAATCCATATAACTGTATTTTTCCTGAATAATAGAAGTCCTTAGAACATGTTAACTCTGACCTTCTTTCCCCATAATCTCCTATATTTCTAGCTACTATTTTAGTTTCATCTTATTTTGAACCACTACCACCACCAGCAGCAGCATCTCAATGCTTGTTCAGAAATCTAACATATTTATAAATTTCTCTGCTCACCATTCCTTCTTCTAATCCATTCCTTTCTTCTTATTTCCATTTCCTTATCACGTACATCCTTTTTATGGCATTGCTGTGAAAGTCTTTAATGGGGTGGCATTCTAATAAGCAGGAAAAAGATTTTTTTCTGTAATCTTTTTAAAAATAAATCTTTTCTAAACTGTTTTGCTTTCTCTTTTTTTCTGTAATCTATTATTACTAAGAAGTCAGCTGCCAATATAATTTTTATCTTCAAAGGCAAACAGGCATTTTCTTTTTCTTTCTTTCTTTCTTTTCTTTTTTCTTTTTTTTTTGGCAGTTTTTGGCCAGGGCTGGGTTTGAACCCACCACCTCCAGCACATGAGGCCAGTGCCCTACTCCTTTGAGCCATAGGCACTACCCACAAACAGGCATCTTCCTTTCTTATTGCTTTTAAAATTTTCCACTTTCTCTTCTGTATTCTGCGGTTTCACCATAGTGCATTTGTGAGCTCAAGACTTTTCAGCTTGTGTCTTTCTTCCACTTAGGAAAATTCTCAACCATGATGTATTGGAATATCACATTTCCCCTATTCTTCCAGTCACTTTCAGGAACCCCTATTAGATGTATCTTAGTATATTTTATTTTGTTCCTTATGTCTTTTCTCTCATATTTTACTATTCTCTCATATTTTATATCTCACCACTTGTTCTCTTTTTTATATTGCAAATGATTTCATCAGCTCTATCTTCCAGTTTAAG